CCTCTTGGTATTGGGCGGGGCGCGCAGGCCGGATGGCCAATGAGAAGCGGCGTAGGGGCGAAGGGGGCGGAGAGAGGGGCCAAGTCCCCGGTAGTCGGGGCGTCGGGGCCTCCTTAATTCCGACCAAGAGAAAGTCGCGGGTGCGGGGACCGCGGCTTCCGGCGATGGCGCTGCGCTGGGGCATCGTGTCCGCCGGTTTGATCTGCAGCGACTTCACGACGGTGCTGGGGGCGCTGCCTCGCTCCGAGCACCAGGTGCGCCCCCCACACCCCGGGGTCCTGGAGCCGGGCGGGCGGGGGCCGGGACTCCCGGGTCCCAGGGAGTTGGGGTTCCACTCCTGACTTACAAACGCGAGCTCCGTGCGGCGTGGGAGGGTCCTCGTCGGAGCTGCTGTGAAGAGAAGGCACGGAGCGAGCAGGGGGGGCTTGACCATCGCGTGCCCCGATCGCTCTCCCAGGACCCCAGTGTCCAGCCTCCGGTCACCTCCCCCGCCCCCCCCCCAGGACCAAACCCCCCTCCCCCTTATTGGGGTGTGATTCCTGCTCCCCCACCCCCCGCCTCCTCCATCACCTCCCTCCCAGCACGAGTCTCCCACGTGTGTCTCAGGTGGTGGCCGTAGCGGCGCGCGACCTGAGCCGCGCGAAGGAGTTTGCACGGAAACATGACATCCCCAAGGCCTACGGGTCCTACGAGGAGCTGGCCAAGGACCCGGACGTGGGTGAGTGACCTGCGCCGGGGGGGGGGGTTGGGGGGAGAAGGGGGGTGCTGGGGGGGGCTGCCCCCAGGTGCTCCGCAGCAGGTGCAAGGTCCGGGGGATGGGCCCGGCCTTTGGACTTGGGGAGGGACCTCGGCTGGGAGACGGGCCATAGGCAGGGCTTTGGTCTGGGGTTTCCTCCTCTGCTTGCCCTTCTCCGTTTCCTTATTTTTATTATTTTTAATATATCTTTTTATTAATTTCAGAGAGGAAGGGAGAGGAAGAGATAGAAACATCAGTGATGAGAGAGAATCATGGATACGCTGCCTCCCGCACGCCCCCTACTGGGGATCGAGCCCACAACCTGGGCATGTGCCCTGACTGGGAATGAACCGTGACTCCTGGTTCATACATGGACCCTCAACCACTGAGCCACACCAGCTGGGCTCAGTTTCCTTATTTTTAAAGCGGGCAAAATGGCCAGGCCGGCGTGGCTCAATGGTTGGGCATGGACCTATGCACCAGGAGGTCACGGTTCAGGGCACATGCCCGGGTTGCAGGCTCGATCCCCAGCAGGGGGCGTGCAGGAGGCAGCTGATCCATGATTCTCTCTCATCATTGATGTTTCTCTCTCTCTCTGTCCCTTCTTCTCTGAAATCAATAAAAATATATTAGCCCTAACCGGTTTGGCTCAGTGGATAGAGCATTAGCCTGCGGACTGAAGGGTCCCGGGTTCGATTCTGGTCAAGGGCATGTACCTTGGTTGTGGGCACATCCCCAGTAGCGGGTGTGCAGGAGGCAGCTGATCGATGTTTCTCTCTCATCGATGTCTCTAGCTCTCTATCCCTCTCCCTTCCTCTCTGTAAAAAATCAATAAAATATATTTTAAAAAATAAAAATATATTTAAAAACAACAACAACAACTAAAACGGGCAAAATAATAGTATCTCCCGGTTGGTGTTGTGAGGATTCAGTGATTTCATGTCATTGCTGGGGCGACAAGGATCTGAGAGGAGGGTGATGGTAGCCAGTGGTTAGCTCCTTCCTCTGGGAGACTAGGGTGTGACCAAGGCGGTAGGGCTTGGTCCCAGGTTGGGGGGTGGGGGGTACCCCGATTCCTTGGATGCTGGAGGCGAGCCTTGGGGACTTGGCGGGGCTTCCGACCTCTTGACCCCCTTCCTCTCACCCTAGAGGTGGCCTACGTGGGCACCCAGCACCCGCAGCACAAGGCCGCCGTGTTGCTGTGCCTGGCGGCGGGCAAGGCCGTCCTGTGCGAGAAGCCGATGGGCGTGAACGCCGCCGAAGTGCGAGAGATGGTGGCGGAGGCCCGATCCCGAGGCCTCTTCCTTATGGAGGTGAGAATGGAGCGGCTCTGTCAACATCCCAGACAGCTCCCTGCCTTCACTAACCATGGTCGCCCGTGGACATTTTTGGAGGGACACAAGGGAGGGGTTGACCACGAGTTAAGATGACCACAGCATGGCCCGGCCCGTGTGGCTCAGTGGTTGCGTGTGGACCTAACACCCAGGAGGTCACGGTTCGATTCCTGGTCAGGGCACATGCCCGGGTTGCAGGCTCCATCCCCAGTGGGGGGCATGCAGGAGGCAGCCGATCAATGATCCCCTCTCATCATTGATGTTTCTATCTCTCTATCCCACTCCTCCCTTCCTCTCTGAAATCAATAAAAGTATATTTCAGGCAACACCGTTCATGGGCAGGAGACACGGCTTTGGGCCCCTAGCGAACAGGGCTGCCTGAAGGACCCTTTGTCAGATGCTCTGATGCCAGCAGTGAGGGCGGCACAGGGTGGCCGTGGGCTCCCTTTGGGTGGGTTTCCGGGGATGGAGGTGGCGGGACCAAGGAACTCCGACAGCCCTCAGCCACAGGCATTCTTTGTGTTTGGCCTTATCAGGCTCGGATGTACGCAGGGGACTCGGACATCTTGCAGATTGCTAGTAATTCTAGTGGCTGCCACTGGGCCGGAGCTAAGATGGCCACCTCTTGGGCCCTACAAGCTATTTTAGTGTTAAGGAATATTATGGTGTGTGTTTTTTTAATTTATTATATTTTAAAATATATTTTTATTGATTTCAGAGAGGAAGGGAGAGGGCGAGAGAGATAGAAACATCAACAATGAGAGAGAATCCTTGATCAGCTGCCTCCTGCACGCCCCGCACTGGGGATCGAGCCGGCCACCCGGGCGTGTGCCCCGATCGGGAATCGAACTGTGACCTCCTGGTTCATAGGTTGACGCTCCACCACGGAGCCACGCCGGCCGGGCTATTACGGCTTTCATACCTTGTAGGTTCTGACAGTAGCAGCAACAGCTGCCTCTTACTTCCCCACGCCCTACGGAGCTGTCATATGCCTACTCCTGCGGAGCCTCCCTGTCCGCAACGTTCCGTATGCCCGAGAAGTGGTCAGGATTTATCAGGGTGACTCAGGGCCTCTGGTTTGCAGTGTGCCTGCCAGCGCCAACATTCTGTGGGTTTATTGCTTCCTCGTTTTTTTTATTGGCCCCTAATGTGTGCCACATCCAACCCGAGGACCTGGGAACTCAGAAGGTCTAAGACGCAGGTTCAGTTTTCAAGTTCAAGGTCTGCTGTGGTCCCGGAAATGGGCAAGCCCAGTGCTCAGCTGCATGGACTTTTGTGGACCTAGTACTGGGGGGGCAGTCGACAGAGAGCCCGGTCTGGAGGTTCGTCAAGGAGCTTTTCCTACAGGGAGGGACTGCCCTGAGCCTTAAAGGGAAAGTCAGTTGCACAGGTACAGAGGCCAGATGGGGGAAGCGGAAGCAAGATTTAAAGAAAACCAGCGTGGGCAGAGTTCATGTATTTAGTATGAACTTGATCCCGGATTAGTCAGGATTCCTGGCGTTCGAGTCAGAGGATTCTGGACTCCAGTTTCCCAGTTCCTGGCTCTGTGACCTTGGGCAAGAAATATGACTCAGCGGAGCTTCAGTTTTCTCACGCGTGGAATGGGCATGAGGACAGCTACCTGGCAGGGACGTGGGGAGGATTCGTGATGTAAAAGCTGTGCACAGTGTCTTGTCCAGAACACACACAGCCGGCAAATGGGAGCTGGTATCCGGCGATGGGGGACCCTAGAGAGGGGGGCTGGGTAGTGGGGAGGCTGGATCAGCTCCAGGAGAAGCGAAGACCCCTCTGGGGCCACGTGGGACACGGACTGCAGGGGAGAGGCGGGGAGTAAGGTTCGCTAGAGCTGCCATAACCAAGGCCAGACTGGGTGGCTTAAACAACAGAGATACCAAAGCCTCTCACACATCTGGAGGCTGGAAGTCTGAGATAAAGGTGTCAGCAGGGCTGGTTTCTCCTGAGGCCTCTCTCCTTAGCTTGTAGATGGCCATCTTCTCCCTTTGTCTGCACACGGTCTTGCCTCTGTGCATGTGTGTGTCCTCATCTCTCTCTCTCTCTTTTTAAAAAAATATAGTTTTATTCATTTCAGAGAGGAAGGGAAAGGGAGAGAGAGATAGAAACATCAATGATGAGAGAGAACCATTGATCGGCTGCCTCCTGCACGCCCCCTACTGGGGATCGAGCCCATAACCAGGGCATGTGCCCTTGACCGGAATCGAACCCTTCAGTCTGCAGGCCAAAGCTCTATCCACTGACCCAAACCAGCGAGGGCTTCATCTCTTCTTATAAGGACACTAGTCCTACTGGATCCGGGCCCACCCTCAAGACCTCATTGTGACTTAATTGGCTCTTTATAATTGACTCTTTAAAAACCCTATCACCGAATACACTCATATTGGGGGGTTAGGACCGCCACATGAATTTGGTGGGGACAGAATTCAGCCCATAACATTGGGAGACTGGGGTAATGATACAGATAAGACAGGACAAGGCTGGCCCTAACCTGTTTGGCTCAGTGGATAGAGCGTCAGCCTGCGGACTGAAAGGTCCCAGGTTCGATTCCGGTCAAGGGCATGTACCTTGGTTGCGGGCACATCCCCAGTGGGGGGCTGTGCAGGAGGCAGCTGATCAATGTTTCTCTCTTATCGATGTTTCTAACTCTCTATCCCTCTCCCTTCCTCTCTGTAAAAAATCAATAAAATATATTTTTAAAGAAAAGAAAGGAAGAAAGGACAAGGCTGGAGTTGGGGACCTGGGTGTCAAGAGCAGGGGGGAGGGCAGAGAGCCGGGCAGGACACAACTTGGGGACTGATGGGCTGTGGAAGGAAGGGGGAGGGTCTAGTTTGGAGACTGGGTAACAGTGGGTACCCCTTCAAGATTGAACCCCATGGGGGGAAAAGGAGACATAGGTAATACTTTAAACGATAAAGAATTTAAATAATAATAATAAAGAAGATTGAACCCCAGAAGGGAGAACTGGTTGGTTAACTCCTGTCCCCTCTCTTCCCCTTTCCCGTCCTGCTTTCTCCCCTCTGTGGGCCTCAGGCCATCTGGACCCGCTTCTTTCCCGCCGTAGAGGCTCTGCGGGCTGCTCTGGCCCAGGGAACTCTGGGGGACCTTCGAGTGGCTCGGGCAGAATTTGGGAAAGACCTCACTCACGTACCGCGGGCCGTAGACTGGGCCCAGGCTGGCGGCGGCCTGCTGGACATTGGTATCTACTGCATCCAGTTCATCTCCATGGTCTTTGGTGGGCAGAAGCCGGAGAAGATTTCAGCCATGGGAAGGCGCCATGAAACAGGTATGGTCTGTTCTGGACGGTATGGCGGTGATCAGAGTGGTCCTCTCTTACTGGGCGCACTGACCTGGGAGTAAGTCTCCTAGCCCATGAACACCAGGCGAGACTGCTGCAGAAATTTCCTGCAAGAAGTTAAAGAGGGTCAAGTATGGTCAGGCTCTGTATTAGGATTTTGCTGTGTGATCTTAGTCAAGGAACTCCATCTCTCTGAGTCTTAATTAGTTACTTACTGAACTGCGTCCAGCTGGGCCAGTGGTGAACCTGAGGAGGGCCGGGGGGGATGGGGGGGAGCGGGGGGCGGTGAAGGATTAAAGAAAACAGACAAGAGACTATAGCTGGGGCCATGTGGATCACTGCGCCTGGATGAGGAAACAGTGACACAGCCTGTAAGCCGAGTCTTTATTTTATAGTCAGAGCAAAACAAGGGAGTGGTCAAGATGTTTACAACGTTCTTGAGTTTCAAATCTACTTAATTACAGGCACCTGAGAACTCTATCAAGCTTTGCTTTGGCAGCACCTGCTGCACCTCCCACAGCCCACAGCCCTCAGCAACCTAGGACCACAGCGTCGGACCATAAGGTCAAGCTTACAACCATAGCCTTTGGCTATAATTGTGCTGGGAGGGCTTTGCCCTCCAAGCTGGGACTTGTATGTGGCTTTGCCACGAGAGGACCGTGCCCTCTCATCAGTCTGAGGCTTGAACCTGTCCAAACGCTGTAGCCGCTCTCCACAACTTACTGGTAAAATTTCAATAATAGGGTTGTTATAAAAAGTTAATGAAGTAACCGTTGAGGCAAATTAAGCAGTACATAAATACAAAGGATTATTATTTTTGAAGTTGTCTCAGTTAGCCTCTGCTGCATAACAAACTACCCCAAAATGTAGTGGCCTCAGATAACAATCATTTATTCACTTGTGATTCTGTGGGTTGGCCATTGGGCTGGGCTCAGCTGGAGCGGTTCTTCTGCTGGTCTTACTCACGCAGCGGCCATCAGCAGCTGTGCCACTGGAGCTGGATGGTCTAGTCTAGCCAGTGGAGAGCCACATGCGGCTCTTTGGCCCCTTTAGTGTGGCTCTTCCACAAAATACCACGTGCGGGCGCACATGCACAGTGCGATTGAAACTTTGTGGCCCATGCACAGAAGTCGGTATTTTGTGGAAGAGCCACACTCAAGGGGCCAAAGAGACGCCTGTGGCTCTCGAGCCGCGGTTTGCTGAGCCGCAGTTTGCCGACCACTAGGCTAGGAGGTCAGTGGTTCTCAACCTTGGCTGCACATTAGAATCACCTGGGAATCTTTTTAAAATCCTGATTTCTGGGCCTCATCCTCCGGAAAATCCTGTTTCTTTTGTGATGGGGGGGGGCCACACATTAAATAACAAAGAAACAGAATTTCCCGGGGATGAGTGCCCAAGACTCGACTTAAAAAAACTCCCGGGATTCTAATGGCACCAGTGTTAAACCACGACTTCGAATGCTGATTTGCGAATAGACACTATCAGGGATGAGTTTAAGC